GAGAAAAGGACAGGCGCCAGACCCTTAGAATATAGACAAGTAAAAGGGCAGCTGCAAGACATGTAACTGTGAGAATTAGCGCAGTGAGAGATGCCGGTGTTACAGAAGTACATGGCTTAGGAGGCACCTATCCCAGAGGAGTGGGGTTAAGGAAAGCTTCTCAGGGGAGTAATGACTTCCACCCACAACCACTGTCCAGAAGGCAGTCCTAAAGTCACACTCAGCTGCAAAGAAAGTCTAGGAAATATATCTGTTATCTGGTTATCATGACATTTCCTTTTCATCTATAACCATTCCCTTCTACTGACTTGAGTCTAAACTCCCATCAAAAGCTAGAACACACCACACAGTGCTGGGTTCTATACATCCCTGTCTTGTCTCAGGAAGCTTGCCTAGTAATTCTCAGTCTCTCTCCCTTTCCTTCTCTCTCTCTCTCTCTCTCTCTATCTAGCATCTGCAGTCTCTTCTATACATTGCTGTATAACAAACCATCTTGACTCCTAAAATTTCCATCTGCCTCCCAAAAATGTTCCAGGCCCTCCATCTCAAAAAAGAATATTTCATTCCACATCTCCCTCTAGTTATGACCCTCTTTCCTTAATAACTATTCTTCTAAAAGACTGGTCTAAAGTCACTTGCTCCACGTTCTCCAGTCACATGCAGTGTTAGGGACACCAGATCTGCCTTCTGCCTCTACAACTTCATCAAGATGGCCCTTTCCATGGCCGAGGGTCTCCAGGTCACTGAATTCAGAGCACACTTCTCAGTCCTCATTCTCCTTGTTCCAGGAGCAGCATTTGAATCCATTCAGCGCCTCTCCTCCTGCTTGTATAATGCCTTGTCCTCCTTATTCTCCTCCCACCCGTCTGCTCCTTCTTGGTCTCTTGACAGGCTGATCTTTCTCTATCCAGCCTTGAAATAATGGTCTTTTGCAGACTTCTGGCATGGATCCTCATTTCTTCTTATTCAACCTTCTCTCATTAATTCTATGGTTTACATTCATTCTTGCACAGCCTGTATATTCAACTTCCTACTGGAATTCCTGCTTAGATGTCTAAGAGGCATCTGAAACTTAACATGTCCAAACTAGGCTGGAGTCCCTGGTAAAAGCTGCTGTCTGATAGCCACAATTTTCCCTATGAAGTGAGAAGCCATGTGATCCGTTGTGAGTGAAGGATGGTGTGTGTGTTTGTGTGTGTGTGTGTCTGTGTGTGCACATACGTGTGGGTACGAACGCACATGCCAGGATAAGAGATGAAATTAGAGATTTTTTTTTCATTCCCAAATCTCTCCCTTTATTATCATAATTAACATTTATTTGGAAATCAAGCAGTAAAAACTATTCAGACAGCAGCATTACATTATTACTTTCAGGCAAAAGAGGGGGAAGGACTTTCAAGTTAAAACAGGCACTGAAAGAGACAAACTCCAGTTCCCAGGAAGGCTGACCTTCTATAGCCAGCACTAAATTAGTGCTAGAAATCAGAGATTTTGAGTAAAGAAAATTTGGGGGAAAAAATACAAAATGTTAAAAAGAAAGTGGCCAGATTAACAGTAAAACTTATACTCAATCTGAGAAGCAGCATACTAGGAACACCTGAATTCTGGTTTTCCAAATCCCTGGCTTTGAGTTATAGCTTTTTTACCTAGTAGCTTTGTGGCTTTAGGCAAGTTCCTAACACTCTCTGAGCCAGTATTTTCATTTAAAATAGTGATCGATAATGTTGTACCTAAATTTGTAGTTCTTTGTGAGGATTAAAGGTAATATGCTTGGAATATAGTAGTAGGTGATTATCCAACAATGCCTATCCAGTTACCAAAAACGTTATTCAGTTTTAATCTCATCCTTCTCCCTCACTTTCCACATACAGTCTCTAAATTATGTCTCTCTACCTTCTAAATATCTCTCAGATCCATCTTGTCCACTACCTCCATGACTTTAGTTCAAGCTACTGTCATCTTTCACCTTAATTACTGTCATGGACTCCATGGTTCCACTCCTTAAGTTGCCCTCCACACCAGTGGCCACTGCAATCTTTCCAAATCTTTCTAAATCTTAACAAATTTCCAATGCCCCTACTTCTTCCTTGCATGACTTGCAAGGGTCTACATTTGCTATCTCCTGAGATGAGACATGTGTTACCTTTGATGGCTACTGTAGAAAATTACTGTGAATTTGGTGGCTTAAACAACATTCATGTAGTAGCTCACTGGCTGGGTTCTTTGCTCAGGGAGGGTATCACCAGGCTACTGAAGTCAGAGTGTCAGCCTGAATAAATTCTCTTCCAGAGGCTCTGGGGGAAAATCTGCTTCCAGGCACATTCTTGTCATTAGCAAGATCCAGCTCTTAGTGGTTGTAGGACGGAAGTCCTTATTTTCTTGCTGGCTGTCAGCCATAAATGGCTTTCAGCTAAAGGCCACTCTCAGGTATTTGTCCTGTGCCCTCCTCCATCCTCAAGCCAATCAGCCATCCTCATTCCTTGCCTCCTGGCCCTCTCTATCTTCAAGCGAGCAACAGTGTATCAAATTTTGTTCTTAAGATCTCTCTGACTTCCTCTTTTTCTGCCAACCAGAGAAAACTCCTGGCTTTTAAAGGACTTATGTGATTTAGTTAGGACTAGTTGTATAATATTGAGGTCACTGATTAGTGACATTAATTACATCCACAAAATCCCTTTTGCCATAAAACATAGGAGTAGTATCTCATCATATTCACAGGTTCCACCCACACTCTAGAAAAGGAGATCGTACAAGAGTGAGAGTCATTGGGGGTCATCTTGTAATTCTGCCTATCCAGGAGGGGAAGCCAGGAAAAACAGCCCTGGGAAACACTGAGACCTCAAGCTGAGATCAGAAGAGTGAGTAGGAGTTAATCAGATAAGGAAGGTATTCTTCCAGAGAGAATGTGCAGAAACTATGTAACTGGAGGACATACATTCCCAAAATGGACTAAGGAAGGACAGTGTGTCTTCAGTGGAGAGAACAAGGGGTAGTGACTTGAAACACTGGTTAGAAAGTTCAGTAGTAGCCAGGCCATGCAGGCTTCATAGATTCTGTAAAAAGTCCTTCTTTATCCCCCAAACAAGGTCAGAAGAGTTGCATAATCAGACTTGTATTTTGAATATATCACTCTGGCTATAAGGTGGAGGGTGGATATAAGGGGGCATCATCAAAATGTCGTGGACCACTTAGGAGGCTGGGAGAATAGTACAAGAAACAGTGGGGCAATGTCAGTGGAGATAAAAGCAGACTGATTCAAGGAATGCTCAGTAGCTAAAATCAACAGCACTTCATGATTAATTGAACATGGGAATGAGGCTGTTATGTTCCCCAGGAAGCGGACTCTAAGAGATTACTGGGGAGGATGTTTACTAAGGAGCGCTCCTGGAGTCAACACCTGTGTAAGAGAAAAGATGGAAAAAAGTGAGATGGGGCAAAGGGAGAAGCTGAGCAGTCCCAGTAAAGACCTCAGTCAACCCTATGAGGAGCTGTGAACATCTTTCAGGGTTGTCCTCTCTTGGGGTGAGAGAGCTGAACCTTTATACTTCTCTGCTGATCAGTTGTTGGGTACAGATGCCCAAGGAAGGGAATATGACCTTAGATGAGCCAGATTTCTTCAGCTCAGGCAACACCCAAAGGGGCTGACAGTTGAGAACTATCTTTCAGCAGCATTCTCAGTAGAGAAGGAGAAAAAATCTTCATTTTTGAAAGAGTCTGGGCTTTTTGTTGCAGCCTTCACCACAGGGATGCAGGCATATAAGGGAGTAAGGCATTCAGGATGATTCCTTAATTTCTTTTTCTTTTAATTTTTATTGAAGTGTAGTTGTTTTACAATGTTAGTATCAGGTGTACAGCAAAGTGATTCAGTGATACGTATACATACATTTTTTTTCTTTTCAGATTCTAAATTTCTGATTTGTGCATCTTGGTGGATGCACTTATGACCATATGTTGTAATCATTGGCTTACCTGTCATTTTCCCTCACTTGAGTAGTAGTTACTCAGGCACAAACTGTCTTGGACAGCTGGTGTACCAGTCCTATACCTGGCACATACTTTGCTGAATAAGTGAATGGCTGTCTACTTCTCCTGTTCCACTCCTTTCTTCCCTACGTTTCCTTTGCTTCCCCCCCACCAAACCCTACCATCATCCAATGTGAGAAAAGTCCAGCAGGTTATCTGAAGTCTCACCTGTGCTGGAGCTGAATAAACAGCACAGCAGGCTGCTCTAGTAGGAAGGCAGGCAGTGCCAGGAGAATGGGGGGGGGGGGGGTGACGACATTCCCTCTGATCTCAGGCTTAAATCCTCCTTCAATGTCCCATCCCCCATAAACTCAGTGCTAGCTGGACCAGGTCCTCTCCAAAACTCTGATTGGATAGGACTCTCTGAATTCCCATAAACTCAGACCTCATTCCCAGTCTAACCTGCTCGTTAGCTGATAACTCCCACCTCTGACAGCTACTGCTGGAGGCCAGAGAATGGAATTTCATGTCATACTGGAGTTTTCTTTAGAATGGAGAAGAATGACATCAACAGGGCTGAAATATAAGAAGAGGAAAGTGCTGCCCAAGGAGCTGAACCCACTGCAGTCTTGCGCATGCCACCTTCGGTTTTGTTCCCGCTGCGCCCCAGTGCTCCTGCGCCCTTTCAGCTCCCTCCCGTGGGAATCTGACCTCCTACACAGGCTGCTCCACCTGCGTTGAGAGCAAACAGGGAGTGTGTCGGGTGAGGGTGGACGCTGCCTGGAGACTACAGAGAAAGCTAGCCGCCTCCTCCCCGGTTGTGCCTGCGCTGGGCTGGGAACTGAACCGTACCCCACCCTCACCCCACCCCAACCCTGTTTATCCCAGGCACCGCTACCCCGGTCAATACCCAAGTCACTCTTCCTCCGGCAGCCCTTTCCCTTGCCAGAGTTCCCCAAGCAAAAATGGTGCCTCTTGCTCATCTTTGTCCGCTGCGGAGGGTTCCTTGGGCGCTTTGGGTGGAAGCCTGGGTATTGGGCCTGAGGTAGGAGGTGGGGGTGCGGGAGCAGATGCTGGGGCCACCCCCAGCCCCGCGGCGAGGAGTTGCAGGGAACTACCAGTGATGGTGTCGCGGTCACTGCAGCCACTGCGGCATAGGGCATGGTACGGTGCCCGCAGCGCTCTGCGAGGGCTAAGGCATCAGCGCTGCAGCCAGTGACCCCCGCACGCACCCCCGACCCGTCTCAGTTGCCACCTCCAGGTTCCCCGACCCACCAGGGGAAGATGCTAGACCCCACGGCGGCCGCGCCCACCCGTCTTACGCTCCCTCCTTCCCCTCCCCAACCACTCCTAACCCTCTCTCTAATCCCCGCCAACACACACCGCACACGCACACACACACACACACACACGCGCGCGCGCGCGCGTGCGAGAATCCCCTGGAACTGGGATGGTGATGAAGGGGAGAAGGCGGGAAGGCAATCTCGAAGAGAAGACTGGAGAGGTCTAGGGAGGGGGCGAGCCTGGAGGACAGTCACACCAGTGTTGGGGAGTGGGGGACGGGGCGGGGGCGACTAAGTCCTGAGCGGGAGAGAGGGGCGGAGAGTCACCTGGCGGGACAGCCGAGGACCCGAGCCTGGGAGGGACGCGAGCCTAGGCGGGGCGAGCAGAGGAGGAGCCGAGGGGCAGGGGCCAAGGTTGGGGGCGGGGACCAGGCGGGGCGGGAGCTTCAGCGGGAATTGCCGCGCGAGCAGGTGGAGCCGCAGCGGGAGCCCGCCCGGCCGTGCGGAGGGAGGCGGCGGCTGGGCCGGGGCCATGGAGCTGCTAAAGCTGAACCGGAGCGTGCCGGGGGGATCCGGACCCGGGCCGGGGGCTTCCCTGTGCCGCCCAGGGGGCACCCTCCTGAATGGCAGCGGCACAGGCAACCTCACCTGCGAACCACCACGCATCCGCGGAGCCGGGACACGAGGTGGGTGCCTCCCTAAGCCCCCTCTACAAGCTCCTCCTTGCTGCATCCCGCAACACCCACAGATGCCCCTGCTGCCACCTCAAACGCCCACACTCTCCCTGCACAGTACCTACCCCCTCAGTCCCCCAACAGCCCCCACCCCGACACATTGGTGCCCCGCAGCTCCTAAAATTCCATCGCAGCTTCACACCGCCTTGTCAGAGCCCTTTCACACCCTGGTCTCCTGATCACCCCCAGAGCTCCTGGTCACCCCTAAAACACAGCACCCTGCCCAACACACAGCCCTCTCCTCCAAACATACAATGGGAAGGCAAGGAGCTCCTCTAGCCAGTCCTTCCAGGTTTCTCTTTGCCCTTTGCATCCAGTTCATGGAGCCACAATGGGGAAGAAAAGAAAAGAAGACAAGACTAGGGGGAAAGAAGGGGACTGGTTGTGGCGAGGGAGCACTCTGGAAGGCCTGGATGGGAAGTTAGAGTTATTGTCGTCTGTGTCCCTCACCTCAGCCCCTATCCTTCCCCAAAGAGATCCCCTAACTGGAGTTAGGCTGGACACTAGACTGGGAGCTGTTCTCTAGAGCTGCCTGTCCCTTTCCCTCACCTTCAAATCCCCTTGCCTCTCAAGTTGGAGTTCTCAAGGCCCTAAATCCACTTTCTTTCACTGTCTCCAAACATGTCTCCAGCTCCCTTCCAAGCCGCCTCTCCAACCTGGCTCTCCTTAGGTTTCCTGCCCAGAGCCTGGCTGCCCCATTCATCACCCTATCCCTTTGTGCCACCTTCCCCTCCAACCCCCAGACTGCTTCCACTCACCCAGTCCCCAAAATGACTCTCACTTCTCCCATCAGCCAACATCCACATTTTCTTGATTACCTAGCTCAAGTCATATTTTTCCCCTTCCCATAGCTTTTCTTTCCTTCTTTCCTGGTTACTAGTCACCTGCTATTGTAGTCCCTGGGCTAGGTGCTGGCTACACAGGGATGAGTTAGACCCAGTCTGGACCCTCATCCCCAAGGTCTCCAGAAGGGAGACAAAACCAATAGGAAAATCACAGTCAGTGTGGGAAGTCCCACAGGAGGGTCCAAATTGTGAGCACCCAAAGGAGAAGGAGTCTGAAAACTTCACAGAGGGAACCTTGAAACTGGAGTTTAGAAGTAAACAAGCAAGAAGTGGGATTCCAGGAGAGGGAACAGTGCTAAGCAGAAGAAAATTATTCCAAGTTCAAGAAGGGGAAGTGTGAATAAGTTGTAATTCAATATTTATTTACCCCACAAAATATTACATGCTTTCTCAGATCAGTTGCCACACCCCCTCTTGTTGTTTACATCTAGATTCTTTCATTCAACAAGTATTTTTGAATCAGAGGTTGTGCTAGGCACCAGGAACATGAGTAGAACAAAACTGACCCAGCTCCTACTTCGTGGAGCTCACAGTTTAATGGGGGAGAGAGGCAAGTAGGCAGGGAATTGCCAGAGAAAGTGGGAAGTGCCTTGAGGGGGGCGTGGGAACACGGAAGAGGAGCCCCTCTGGCCTAGCCAAGCCTTGGAAATCAAAGTTGACCTCCTGAGGAGGTGAAGAGTGAATTGAAATAAAAATTCTAAAGCTAAGGGAAAGCCAGCCAAGTGAAGGGGCAAAAAAAGGTAAAAAGCATCTCAAACAGAGAAACAGCATATGTAAATGCCCAGAGTGTAAATCCATGGCACTTTTGTTCGGTGTGTCATAGTTTCTGTGTTCCTGAGACATGTACCATCAGAGAGGAATAACGAACATTCAGAATGCGGACCAGCCTAGGGGTTTCCAGAGAGCCTTCTGGACCTAAGGGGTGTGGATTTTATCCTGAGGGCAATGGGAATTACCGAGAGGTTCAGTAGTACTGCCAGGATTAGTTCTGTAGTGTAGAGGATGGAGTGGAGGACAAGAGGTGGGGGAGGAGGGTACTTTAAAAGGCTATTAGATTACATTGGTCCAGGTGAAAGATGATGCTGGCTTTGACGAAGGTACTGGCAGTGGAGATGGAGAGAATTGGATGGATTTGAGAGGCACTTCTGGAAGTGGAATCAACAGAACTTGATGATTTATTAGAAATGGAGAGGGAAGAAGAGGTCAAGGTATGGCATCCAGCTTTCTGGCTTAGATGGTCAGATGGGTGTTGGTGCTATATGACGAGAAGGATAACGAAGGAACAGCAACAGGTTTGAATGAGATTTTTACGTTCCATTTGGAACCCACTGAGTTTAAATGCCAGTGAAATATCCTGGTGGAGTTGCCCGGTAAGCTTTTGAATCCGAGGCTCTGGAACACAGGGGAGAGGTAAGAGCTGGAAATACAGCCTTGAAAGCTGTTTGTCTAGAGGAGATAGTGGAAGCCATGGGAATAGGTTAAATCATACAGAGATTGTGTCAGATAAAAAGAAAGGGGATTCTGGGATAGGACCCCGAGGAAGATCAATTTTTAAAAAGCCAAGCAGAGGAAAGAGAGTCCATGAAGGACACCAGACAAAGCTGTCAGAGAGACAAGAAAGCAAGGAGAAAATGAAGTTTCCAGCAGGGTGGGATAAGTGATGGCAAATTCTGCCCATGTAAGTCAGATAAGGACAGAACAGCATCCTTCGGATTCAATAACAGGAAGTCCTTAGGAGGCATTGTGGGTGTTACCTCCTGACTAGGTAGGTTGACTTTTGGGCTATGGGGAGGGGTCATGAGAAGTGACCCATGGTGTGCAGACAAAACTTTCCAGAAGTTTGATAGGGAGACAGACAAAGAGAGAAACAGGATTGTGCTAGCAATAATAACATAGGGTTGAGGAAGGGTGTGTGGGGGTGTGTGTGTGTGTGTGTGTCTATTTGGCTTTGGGGGGAGTGTGTGTAGTAGCCATAAGAACGTTTTAAATGCTGATGGGGAATGGGCCAAGAGAGAGGGCGGTGGGAGTGCAGGAGATAGTGGGGATGGTTTGTGGAGTCACAGCCCTTGAGAAAGCAGACTGTGCAGCAGCACAGAGCCCAGGTGCCAGAACTGGCCTCCGTCATCCAGCTGTTGCCGCCCACACGCGTCTGGGTGTTAGGCAGGCAGGCAGAGGTCACCTGCGGAGATTCGGTTAGCCACACTCACTCAAACGTCCCCCCAACTGATGCATGGTACCCAGGCTCACTCCAGTGTTACCAGCAGAAATGTGGGTGTTCCTCACATTACTCTGATATAATCCACATAGACTTGAATGTTACCCCTGTTGACTCAGAAGCTACCACAGAAAAACACCCACTTTAATACTGCCCATGGTCATGTGGATACTACTCATCCTTCAAACACGCTCTTTTTCATTTTGTTATTGTCTGCACACAATCAAATATTAGCCGTGCTCACTTCAGTAACCTTTCTCCGGATACTACCCATAAAGTCATAGACATTAGTCTTACATAATCAGATATTACCCACAAAGACTCAGAGATTACGGATGTTCACTCAGGCTCTCAGTTGTTTTCCTCAATCAGATTGACATCTTAATCTGTTAATTTAACATCTCTTATCCACACTCACTTTAATGTTGCCCACACATACTCACATATAACTTCTGCTCAGTCAGCCATGACAACCATCAGCTGGATGTGCCCCCGTTCACCCACAGGCCTCTGAATGGAACCCATGCTTCCTGAAGATGTTACCTACAAAATAAGATGTTGTCTGCAGACCCTTGCTCATTCAGATGTTACACTTACTCAGGTATAACCTAAACTTAAAGGCAACTCACGCTCCATCAGGTATTACCTGTAGACACATAGCTGTTACCTATCTCCAGATGTTACCCCCAGAAATATGCATTACTCTCACCCGCCCAGAGACTATCTCAAAGATTAAAGTGTTACCTAATGTTTACTCTCATCTTATCTACACACACACCCTGCATATTACTTCTGCTCCCTCGGTTGGTACCCACTGACGTTGGGATGTCCCCATCGCCTAGCTGTTACCCACAATCAGTTGGATGCTACCCATCCTCACCACACAGGCATGGGTACCACTTTGATGTCTGTGTGCATGAGGACCAGATCCAACACGCCAGTGGACGGCAGGACTTGAGGCTTTCAGTAGCCTCAGTGTTCTGTGGAGTCCTTTCTTTAAAAAGCCTGGTTTTCAGGGGTAAAGGGGATAGGAAGGGATAAATTGGGAAATCGAAATTTGTACCTC